GTTGATAGATTCCTCTGTGGAGTGGGATCCGGGCGTAATCGATACGCTAACTTTGATTTTCGGGTGTAAACTCCGCAATAGTTTCACTCGAATCGCCAAACCAATGAGTGTCGCCATACTGCAGTGGGGGATAGTTGGTGTGAAGTTTACCTGCAGAAATTTGAATTTTTTAGACAGCCTAGTCGAGATTGGGTATCATTTTGTAGCTCTTTTCAAACTCTACATTCTCCTTTTTGATTTGAATTGAAATTCCAATTGTTGAGCCGAGCTACGCAGATGACGATTTTAGATCCGAATCGCAGTATTTTCAGCGCCAAAACATGCCGTGGAGAACCGCACTAAAAGTAGCACTCGCTGCTGGAGAAGCAGTCACCAAGGCGCTCACCAGAGCCGTTAGAGATGAGATTCGACGTTAGTCCTTTCTAGGATCAATATTCCTGGATTAGATATGATAGAAAAACTCAAAAACTACAAAATGAGCCTATTTGGGATACTGTAGCTGGTCTATGAGCAGAGTTACAGACGTAACTTACAGTAACCGTTAACCGTTAGTTAACCGTGTATGTCAGGTGGTTTTAAGCCCGTATCTTTGCTCATAGACAGGCTACAGTTACTCAAATAGGATCGTCTTGTAGGTCTTGAGTTCTTCTATCATATCCAGTTTGGTAGGTCTGAAAATATTAACCTTGTCAGAATCTTAGGTCCTTTGAATTCTCGTCTTTTCAGATTCTTTACATCCTAAAGATAGATCAGAAGGATCAGAAATATCAAAAGAATGTAACGGATCTAAAAAGACGAGAATTCAAAGGGCCTAAAACTCTGACAAGGTTAATATTTCTGGACCAAATCAGTTGGATATGATAGAAGAACTAAAGAATACAAAATGAATCTAATTAGAATACTGTAGCTCGTCTTTGAGCAAAGTTACAGTAACCCTAAAATGATCGACCATGTTGAGATGGTTTTTGATCAGTAACGTTGCTCATAGACAAGCTACAGTATTCCAATCGGTATCATCTTGTAGGTCTTGAGTTCTTCTACCGTATCCAGTTTATGTGGTCCGCAATTCCTTACTCTGAAGGAGAACTATGGACCATTTTCAGAGACGCAACAAGCCGCCGCTCGTCATGCAGCCGCCACTGGTCAATCGCCGAGTGAGACGAAGGAGAATGCCAATGCCAATGCCAAGTTGGGAATCTCTTTGGAGGTCAGGGATAGCACTGGATAATGAGCAAAATCACAAATTTCGCCAGAAATTCAATTTTTAAAAATTTTAGAATTTTTAAAAAATGTGAAATTTCCGAAAATCTGAACTTCGGAAAACACCAAAAATCTGAGATCCTGAAATTCTGGAGTTTTTTGGTTTTTAAACAATATGAGAGAATTTGTGATTTTTCAGTTTTTTATAGATTCTTGAATTCGTCAAAATTCGTCGAAATTTTTGAATTTTTGGAATTTTTTGAAAAAATAGAAAATTAAAAATCCGAAAATTTGAATTTTTGAAAAATACAAAAATTGAAAAAGCATTCCTAAAAATTCCACAAAAAAGTCTGAAAATTCTGAAAATTTGAATTTTCGAAAAATTCCAAATTTCCAAAATTTTCAGAAAATCCAAAAAAAAATTCTTAAAATCCAAAATTCAGAAAACTCGGAGTTTCTGAGAATCTGAATTTGCCAATGATTTCCGAAAATTCCAGATTTTCCAAAAATCCAAAATTTTGAAATTTTCCGAAAATTCTCTGAATTTCCAAATTTTCGAGAATCTAGAATTTCGAAAATCCAGCATTTTCAAAAAATCTCAAAATTTGAATTTCCAGGAATCCCTTCAAATTCTGAATGTAAAGACGCCGTTGAATCGAGAAGACGTCGAGAAGCACTACGAACACCTGTTTGCAATCAACGATAAAGCCAAAGGAGGCACTTTTTATTTGCAAAGCAAGGTACGGTACTTTTTGAGAATACTGTACTTTTTGGGATTACTGTACTTTTTGAGATTCAAATTTTCCGCCAAAAATCCCTTTTTTCGGTTCCGCGTCACTTCGAAACCAGTCATTTCGAAACTAAGTGACACTTCGAAACCGGTCATTTCGAAACCGCGACATTTACTCACTTTTCCGTATTCGAAATGTTGCCGTTTCGAGTTGACTGGTTCCGAAACGTCGTGGTTCCGAAACGTCGTGGTTCCGAAACGTCGTGGTTTCGAAACGTCGTGGTTCCGAAACGTCGAGGTTTCGAAATGACTGGTTTCGAAGTGTCGTGGTTCCGAAACGTCGCGGTTTTAAGGTGTCACGCAGTTTCGAAAGGACCGGTTTCGAAACGTCGTGGTTCTGAAACGTCGAGGTTCCGGAACGTCGAGGTTTCGAAATGAGTGGTTTCGAAGTGTCGCGGTTCTGAAACGTCACGGTTTCGAAACGTCGCGGTTGTGAAATGTCGGGGTTCCGGAACGCCATGGTTCCGAAATGTCGTGATACTGAAACGTCTGGTTCTGAAACGTCGCGGTTTCGAAACGTCGCGGTTGTGAAACGTCGAGGTTCCGGAACGTCATGGTTCCGAAATGTCGTGATTCTGAAACGTCGTGGTTCTGAAACGTCCCAGAGCCCAAATTTCCCGCCAAAAAAGGCATTTTTCCAGGTCTATCGTGCCAAAGAACGAATAGACGAGGAGCTGAGCCGACTGGAGCAGAAATCCGAGGAAAATAAAGAGCAGCAGAAGGAAAATTCGAAGGAATAATTTTTTTGGATTTTTTGAAATTTTATGTTTTTCAAAAAATTTAAAATTTTTCCAAAATTCTTCGATTTTTCACCGGTTTTTCCTGATTTTTTTGGATTTTCTCAATTTTTTTCTCGATTTTTTTGTTGACTTTTAGTAGTCTTAAATTGTAGGTTTTCCCCTTTTTTTGCGGTTTTTTCAATGAATTTTACAAGTTTTTTTCCCCCATTCCCCCATGTTTTCCATATTTTTTTTGGTGGATTTTTCCAGATTTTTCCTACTTTTTTTCAAAATTTTCAGATTTTTCAGAATTTTGAAATTTCCGGATTTTCAGACAATGCCACCTCCAACACTTGCAGAAGCTGAGCAATTTTTAAGGACTTCAAATATTGAGGAATCGATTTTGGAGCGGCTCGGAGAGATGTTGGTGACCAAAATGGATGGTAGGGATTCGGGAAATTTGGCTGAAAAAAAGCGTAAATTGACTGGAAATGAGCTAAAAAATAACTGAAAATCGGCTGGAATTGGCCAAAAATGGCTGAAAATCTGGCTGAAAATAGCTGAAAATTGAGTGTAAAATAAAAACTTGGGAATTTTTTTGTCAAAAAATTCTTCGAGAAAAATTGACTGAAAATGGGCTGAAAATGGCTTAAATTGACTGAAATAAGAGACAAATTAGCTTTAAAATGCCTAAAAAAATTAGCTGAAAATAGCACGATATAGACAAGAATTGACTGGAAATGAGCTAAAAGTAACTGAAATTGGCTGAAAATAGGCTAAACATGGATGAAATATGGCTGAAAATGGTTGAAATCGACTGAAAATAGCTGAAAAATGTCTGAAAATAAGCCAAGATTGGCTGAAAATAGCTGAAAAAAGGCTGAAAATGACTGAAAATATATTAAAAATAGGCTAAAATTAAGTGAAATTGGCTGTAAATTAGCTGAAAATAGGCCAAAGTAGGCCTAAATTGGCTGAAAATGGTTGAAATTAGCCGAAGTTATGCTAAAATTGGCTCAAAATCCGCTAAAAATGACCAAAATCTGTCAAAAAAAAGCTGAAAATAGGCCTAAATCGGCTGAAAATAGATGAAAATCGGCTGAAAATCGGTAAACATTGACAAAAATTGACTGGAAATAGGCTGAAATTGACTAAAAATCCGCTAAAAAAATCCGAAAATGGCTGTTATTTGGAACATCGTGGCCTAGAAATCCAATATTCCGGAAATCTAGGCCATGAGCTAGAAAACCCTTTTTCAATAACTTGAATTTATGTCATGGCCTAGAAATCTAGAAAATGAAAAATCTAGGACATGACCTAGAAAAACCAAATTTTGGTTTTCTCGGCCAGGCCAAAAAAAACCGAAATCTAGGTCATGGTCTAGAAAACCCAAAAAGGTCGCGGCCTAGAAATCCAGAATCAGAAAAACCTAGGTCATGACCTAGAAATCCAATTTTATGAAAATCTAGGTCATGGCCTAGAAATCCAATATCCAGGAAATCTAGGTCATGGCCTAGGAAAGCTGAAAACGTGTCATGGTGACCTAGGAATCCAAATCTAGACCCTGACCCAATAAATCTAAGTTCGGTGGCCTAGAAATCCAAATTCCCGGAAATCTAGGTCATGGCCTAGAAATCCAATATCCAGGAAATCTAGGTCATGGCCTAGGAAAGCTGAAAACGTGTCATGGTGACCTAGGAATCCAAATCTAGACCCTGACCCAATAAATCTAAGTTCGGTGGCCTAGAAATCCAAATTCCCGGAAATCTAGGTCATGGCCTGAAAAAGCAAAATTTGCTAAACCTAGGTAATAAGCTAGGCGCCCTATAGAAGGTGGCCTAGAAATCCAAATTTTTGGGAATCTAGGTCATGGCCTAGAATCCTTACATTTTAGTAATCTAGACCACAGCCTAAAAACACAGAACACCACGCTTTATTCCATTCGAAAAATAGAACTACAAAAAACGATAGTTCACTTTGGCGGGGGTCCTCCTGGAGGCTGAGCAATCGCCGCCTGAGCTCCTCCCTTCTCCTTTTTCCTCGCCGATTGCATTCGTTTCATCGTGCCGCCCTTCTCATTCTTCTCATTTCCACCCGTATGCGATCCTTTCGATTTTCGCTCATTCGTCTTGTCGCCCCGTCGACGAGCCGTTCCCATTCCACCACCACCACCACCGTCCCGAGACTTCTTCCGAGTGAGATTCGTCGTTGAGGCACGACGATCCGTGCCTCCTCGACGGTCCGTGTTCGATTTGCGATCTTCCGATTTTTTCTGGAAATTTTGAGCTATAGCTGGTTGAGTTGGATGGAGCTAGGCCATCTAGATCCTTCTGGAATGTTCTAGAGGAGCTGGAGGACGCTATAGGCAAAGCTGAGCTGAGCTAGATGGACCTCGGCCATGGACCAGAACCTAGATCCAGCAATCTGACCTGCTCCATTACAATCTAGATTGGTGCGGGTCATCCTGAACCTAGTCAGACGATTCTAGTTGATTCTAGATAGCCTGGATCCATCTACGTCTATCTAGATCCATCTAGACGCCCGATCCCATCTGGTCTAGTCTATCCTAAACCTGTCTAGAGAATTTCAAACCCATCTGGAGCGCTCTAGAGCTACCTAGATCCATCTAGACCTATCTAGATCAACTCTGGATCGATTTAGACTCATCTAGAACTATTCAAACCGATCTAGAACTATCTAAACGATCCTAGATAGATCTGGACCGGTGGTCCCACCTAGTCTGGATTACTCTAGAGTCGTTTAGAGGAGTCTAGATCAATCCAGAGCGATCGAGACCCACCTAGATGATTCTAAAAGCTTGTAGATCCATCTAGATGTGTCTAGACCGATCGGAAGGGCTCTAGACCTACTCAGACCAGTCTAGATCCATCTAGGTCCATCTAGACCTACCTTCTCCACATTCGGCGACTGATTGGGATTCGGGCTCAAACAGTGCGCCAGCTCGAGATCCGCATACTTCTGATAGATCGCTTGAACCTTCTTCTTGACGATTTGAAACGTCGGACGAGCGCTGGGCGACTTCTCACAACAATAATCGACCATCTCGGCGAAATCCCGCGGATCGCCACCGTCGATGCGATGCGGATGATCCGCCTCCTTGATCCATCTCTGCGCTTCTTTGAGATCCCGTGGGGCCAATGGATCAGCTGCACATCGAGTCATCAGCTCGGTGAGCAGCACTCCGTACGACCAGACGTCGGTCTTCTCGTTGAAGATTCCCTTGTTGAGGGTTTCAGGAGCCAGCCAGCGGATCGGCGCTTTTCGAAGATTCTGGAAATTATTTCTAGAAGTCAGAGGATCCTCTAGACTCACCTTAACCACCACCTCCAAATCATTCACCGACAATCCGAAATCCGAAATCTTGACACGGATCTCTTTGGTGATCAGACAGTTTCGGCACGCCAAATCTCGATGAATCACCTTACGCGATGCCAAATGACGCATTCCATTGGCAATGTCAAGAGCGAAGAGAGAGATTTGTTTCGAGGAGATGTTGGAGGATTGGCGGAGGTATTTCTGAAAGAATCTAGTGGATTTTGGGTCGATTGGAGGGTCTAGAAGGATCTAGAACAATCTAAAAAGTTGTAGAAAGATCTAGAAGGATCTAGAAGAATCTAGAAAGATCAGAAAGATCCTAAAATCTAGAAGATCCTTCTTGGTAGCCTAGAAATTCAAAATCCCAAGAAATCTAGGTCATGTCCAAAACATCGAGAAATTTGAAGGTTCTGGAACAATCTAAAAGTATCTTGAAGCATCTAGAGATTGACCTAGATAGATTTAGATCTAGATCGATCTAGAAGGATCCTGAGGATCAGAAGGATCACAAAAATCACCTTAAGGTCGCCCATCGGCACGAATTCCATAACAATCATCATTGGGAATTGAAGAGCGGCGAATCCAAACAGGTTGACAACGTTACGATGCTCCAGCATTGCCATGATGCTTGCTTCCTGGAAAATTGGGCAATCCTAGGTCAAATCTGGAAGTCCAGGGATTCAATTGATCCTAAACTTGAGCATTTAAACTTGACCGAAATTTGAAAAATTCTGGATCATGGAAGTCTAGGCTATGATCATCTAGGCCATGATTACGGTTGGATTTTTATACCAAAATGTTGAGCAGAATGAGTTCTACATTTTGATACTAAATTTGGCACATTTTCAAATTTCTAGTAGTGTTAAATTTAGTATCGAATTGTAGAGCTAATTCTGCTGATCATTTTGATACCAAAAATCACAATGATTTTTCACCAAAATATGGGACCGAATTTCAGTTCAATTCTAGTGCTTTTTACCAAAATGTAGATCACTTTTTGCTGATCATTTTGATATAAAAATCACTGAAATTGAATTGAAATTTGGTCTCGAAATTCAAAAATAATAATCCTAGTGATTTTTATATCAAAAGGATCAGCAGAATGAGCTCTACATTTTGGTACCAAATTTAGCATTTTTGGAAATCTGAAAGTGTGCCGAATTCGATATCAAAATGTAGAGAATTTTCCGCTGTTTATTTAGACATAAAATCAATAAGAATTGATTTCGAATTTTCGGACCAAATTTCAATTCAAATTTCGTGAGTTTTATATCAAAGGGATCAGTAGAATGAGCACTCCAATTTGATATAAAATTTAGTACTTTTTGGAAATCTGAAAGTATGCCAAATTCGGTACCAAAATGTAGATCACTTTTCGCTGATCATTTTGGTATAAAAATCACTAAAATCGAATTGAAATTTAGTCTCGAAATTGGAAAAAACGCCAAGTGGTTTTTATACCAAAATGATCAGCAGAATGAGCTCTCCAATTTGATACCAAATTTGACACATTTTCAAATTTCCAAAAGCGGCAAATTTGATATCAAAATGTAGATCACTTCTTGATGATCATTTTGGTATAAAAATCACTAAACATTGTTTTCGAGATTCCGGACGAAATTTCAATTCAATTTCAGTGATTTTTATACCAAAATGATCTGCAGAATGAGCTCTCCAATTTGATATCAAATTTAACCAAGGTTTTGCCAAGACCCACCTGACAAAACTCCTGACAATTGATTCTCTTCGGCTCCCCGATCATCCTCTTCACAGCCACCTCCGTCGGCTCGGTCCCTCCAATGGGCACAAACTTGCCCTTGAAAACCTCTCCAAACGCTCCATGTCCCAACGACACCGAGTTCGGCAAAACTTGACTGTGTAGCACGACCAACTTGTTTCTGCGCACTGGCACAATATAATTGACAACTAGGGACCATGCATCCAGTAGTTGCCATATATGTTGATATCTTCGATTTGGCATAGCTGGGAATCGCTCAAAGAGCTTCGCACAACTCCATCCCTCGACATTGCAGTTCAGGGGGAAATGGGAGACTTTGTTGTCGACACGAGCAGAGATACACAGGAATTTGTCGGTTTTGAGAATCGATCGACGGACCAGATATGAGTTCTCCCATTTGAGAAGCTTCTCGGTGACACGACCGAAAAGGACGCCATGGTACCATGGGTAGGAGAGAAGTGTGGTGCGGATGTATTCCTGGAAAGGTTTGGAAGTTTCTCGAAAAGAATCAATATGGTTTTTATATCAATATAATCAGCAGAATAAGCCCTACATTTTGATACCAAATTTGAGAACGTTGGAGTCCTCATTTGGTATCAAATGCTCATTTTGATGCAAAAACCGATTCGATTTTTTTTTCAAATTTTTGGATCGAAATTTCAATTCAATTTTTATGATTTTGATATCAAAATAATCAGCAGAATAAGCTCTACATTTTGATACCAAATTTGACACATTTCGAAATTTCCAAAAGACTTTGTTGTCGACACGAGCAGAGATACACAGGAATTTGTCGGTTTTATATCAAATTTTATATCAAATTGGAGAGCTCTTCTACTGATCCGTTTGAT